AGTAACAAAACTAGATTTTTCAATAATCGATTATTTCAGGTCGGCCAAAAAATCGATTAAAAAAATCGATTTCATCAATAGAAAACATTGATTTACCTATTCAATAATTATAACCAGAGATACGACTTTAGTAACAAAAATCGATTTTTCAGTATTTGATTATTTCAGCTCAGCCTCAAAAATCGATAGAAAATTGATTTCATCTAAAGAAAGCATTGGTTTTTGGAACAATCGATTTTTCCATACTTTTTACCTAATAATAATTTTCAATAAAAGAAAATAAATGCTAAACAACATATTACGAGGGACAAAGGATCTACAGTACAGTCGTTTGAATAGGCCATATGTGACAGCTGTCAAAGCGTAGACTCGTCCAACTACAACCCGATCCCGTTCTGGAGCTGCGGCTCGCAGCTGGTCGCGCTCAACTACCAGACGCCCGACAAGGCGATGCAGATCAACGTCGGCAAGTTCAGGGAGAATGGCGGCTGCGGGTACATACTCAAGCCCGAATATATGTTCGAAGAGGGGTATGCTGCTTTAGTAATAAAAACAGATTTTTCATTGATTATTTGAAGTCACTCAAAAAGAACGAATATGGCGGCTGCGGATACATACTGAAGCCTAAATATATGTTGGAAGAGGGGTAATATCAAAGATGATACTTTAGTAACCAAAATCGATTATTTCAAGTCAGCCAAAAATCGATTTTATCCAAAGGAAACAACAATTTTTTAAATAATTGATTTTTACATTATTTTCACTTTTTTTTACAAAATAATAAATTTTATTATATAATTTTCGATAGAAAGAAAATAAACGTCGTGCCCTCCGAACAAAATATTACAAGCGGCCTAATAAAAAGTGTCGCGGGGCCTGTAATAATTCGTTAGTGCAGATATATGTGACGAAAATAATCGATTTTTTGCACTCGGAAATTCAAAAATCGATTTAATAATATACTACAAATGTTTTTTGGAAAAAAGCCCCTCCCATACAAGTGAAAGAGGGGCAAATAAAAATGTTTCTTCTAAAATATTGAGTAGGGTGTCGTTGAATAGGTCTTTTAAAAGTAAGGGGAGGTTTCTTTGAAACAAAGTCGCTAGCATGGTTCTGTCACGAGATAGTTGCTTTTAAAAGGGGCGTTATGAACCCATAATTTGTTTCAGCTGTAACTTTTGAAGTATAAACGCAAAAAAAAAACAATTGGAAAATAGTTTACAATCTGAAGTTGCCATGAAAACTATAACGGATACTGTGCCAATAAAGATTTCTGAAAAATGAAGTTTTTTCTATTTGCTTGCTGTTGGTAACCATACAGCTGCAAACAAACCAGCAACAAAATTAACTTTGTAACGCTGAAAAACCTGATATTTAAACGTTGACTGCAAAACCCTATTTGTGGGCGTGTTTGACACGCTCTTGGCCGGTTTTTTTATAATTGATTATTTTTTCACAACCCCAGGTACAACCCGTACGACAAAAGGAGCATAGAGAAGAAAGTCGCGCCATGGACGGTGAAACTGCGCGTGATTGGCGCGCGGCATCTGTGCAAGTCCGGGCGCGGCACAGCCAGCCCGTTTGTCGAGGTCGAGATCATAGGCGCGGACTATGACAGCGGCGTCAAACTTGTCACCAAGACTGTCTGTAAGTATTGTATAGAGCTGTCATCTGTGCAAGTCCGGGCGCGGCACAGCCAGCCCGTTTGTCGAGGTCGAGATCATAGGAGCGGACTATGACAGCGGCGTCAAACTTGTCACCAAGACTGTCTGTAAGTATTGCATACAGTTGTCATTTGAAGTATTGTATAGAGCTGTCATCTGTCAAGTCCGGCCGCGGCACAGCCAGCCCGTTTGTCGAGGTCGAGATCATAGGGGCCGACTATGACAGCGGCGTCAAACTTGTCACCAAGACTGTCTGTAAGTGTTGTATAGAGCTGTCATCTATGCAAGTACGGGCGCGGCACAGCCAGCCCGTTTGTCGAGGTCGAGATCATAGGCACGGACTATGACAGCGGCGTCAAGCTTGTCACCAAGACTGTAAGTGTTGTATAGAGCTGTCATCTGTCAAGTCCGGCCGCGGCACAGCCAGCCCGTTTGTCGAGGTCGAGATCATAGGGGCCGACTATGACAGCGGCGTCAAACTTGTTACCAAGACTGTCTGTAAGTATTGTATTGTATAGAGCTGTCATTTGTCAAGTCCGGGCGCGGTACGGCCAGCCCGTTTGTCGAGGTCGAGATCATAGGGGCCGACTATGACAGCGGCGTCAAACTTGTCACCAAGACTGTCTGTAAGTGTTGTATAGAGCTGTCATCTGTGCAAGTATTGTATAAAGCTGTCATCTGTGCAAGTACGGGCGTGGTACAGCCAGCCCGTTTGTCGAGGTCGAGATCATAGGGGCCGACTATGACAGCGGCGTCAAGCTTGTCACCAAGACTGTCTGTAAGTGTTGTATAGAGCTGTCATCTGTGCAAGTCCGGGCGCGGCACGGCCAGCCCGTTTGTCGAGGTCGAGATCATAGGGGCCGACTATGACAGCGGCGTCAAACTTGTCACCAAGACTGTCTGTAAGTGTTGTATAGAGCTGTCATCTGTGCAAGTATTGTATAAAGCTGTCATCTGTGCAAGTACGGGCGTGGTACAGCCAGCCCGTTTGTCGAGGTCGAGATCATAGGGGCCGACTATGACAGCGGCGTCAAACTTGTCACCAAGACTGTCTGTAAGTGTTGTATAGAGCTGTCATCTGTGCAAGTATTGTATAAAGCTGTCATCTGTGCAAGTACGGGCGTGGTACAGCCAGCCCGTTTGTCGAGGTCGAGATCATAGGGGCCGACTATGACAGCGGCGTCAAGCTTGTCACCAAGACTGTCTGTAAGTAAACCCAGTACTACATATTTGGGCCGTCGCAAGTCTAGCGATATGAGCTGTTTCTAGCGGCAAGAAATGGTATTTTTTTCTTTACGTGTGTGCGATTTTAAAAATTTATTTTTTAAAGCCTTCCTGAAGTAGCCTATATTACTCAAACATTCTAATAATATAGACTACTTCCCTCTGGAAATGGTTAGTGAAACACCCGGTCCTCCGAAGTGATAAATTGAGAATTATTCAATTTGCAAATTGTAGAGAATCTCCCAGAGGATCGAACCAGGACAGTACTCTTGCGTGAAAACACACTTCCACTCCTTCACATTGGTGATCAATGCCTGAGATGGTTCCGTGCTTTGGAGGGCACGTAAAAACATCGGTCCCGGTTGCTGTTTATGATTAGTTAGACGGTGATCGTTATAAAACCATGTCAGAAGCCTGCTACTTGTAAAAATAGGTAGTTGAAAAATTCTGACACCAGAGTTCAACGGGTCGTTGGATAACTCAGTGTCCCACACAAAAACAGAAGAGATCAGAGATCTAACATTTTATATTTCAATATTTCAGCCGACAACGGCATCAACCCGATATGGAACGACATAATCGAGTTCGAAGTGGCGAACCCGGACTTGGCGCTCATCCGTTTCCTGGTTCAGGACGAGGACATGTTCGGAGACCCCAACTTCATCGGCCAAGCGACGTATCCTTTGAAATGCCTGCGCACCGGCTACCGGAGCGTGGTGCTACACAACAACTACTCGGAAGAACTCGAGTTGTCCTCCCTACTGGTACACATTGTTATTGTGAAGAAACGTTAATATTACGTTTGAGGGTCACCGTTGCGTCGCCCGGACAGTCCGCGTCCTCCCTTCTCGCTATATGAAGTGAGTGAACATCGCGCGATTCCGCAATTTGCGGGTCCGCGCGGACGAACCGCGCGACGCAGTGTGCCCCCTTGTAGGTTTATTTGAAAAGTTTTTCGCAGCGTGATAGTTTGGACATTTTAAAAGTACAGAAGATTTGGAACTGTTTTCCCGGTTGGTACATATTGCGCTATACTATAGTCATAAAACGTGGTGTATTAAATACTACCCTAGCCTTTATAAATATTTATTTAATTAATAACAACATAGCAACAGATGTCTTTTGAAATTTATTACTTATAATTATATAGACTAAAGTAGTATTTATTACACCGTGTTTTATGACCCCGTCTGTAGCGAGTCGCAGCGCAGACTATAGTATAGTAAAATAACGTTAAGAGTTATGTTTATTGTAGGTACATATTATTTGATTTCTAAGGCCTAAGTTTTACGCAGTATGATAGTTTCAAAAGTGCAAACTTTACAAAAGAAATTATAACTGTTTTTCCTGTTTTACATTACATATGGCGCTATTAAAGAAACGTTGGCGCTAGTAAAGAGTTAGGTTCGATTGTAGGTATACCTACACGTATAAGGAAAGGATTTCGCAGTATAATGGTTTCAAAAGTGTATGACTGTGCAATATACAAAAGAATAAGAACTGTCTTCATAGCTGCGCAAGCGTAAGAAACAAAACGTTAATGTTAGATATGCAAAATTTTTCGCAGTAAAAATTTTATACTGTACTTTATTGAAAATCTTAAGGCAGCCTTTGTTGTTGGTTTATACCGGGAGCAACAAAAAGGGTATAACAAGCCAAAAGGAGGTTAATGTACTCTTGAAACTGAATAGCTTTCACCATAGAAATATATTAAAAATTTGGACTTCTCTGATCGGCGATTTTATTTTATTATTTATTTATTGTACTGTTTATTGCACACAAGATAAAACACAAAACAATTTTGTATGGGAGGTCCCAATTTTTGTTTTCGACCCATGTTTTATTAGCAAAGTTGTTCAGTTTCATGAGCACCTTGTCCACTTTTCGCCTTGTTTACCCTTTTTATTACTCCCTCTATTATACAAGTAACTTTCTATACTTGACGAACTTTTACTTGAAGACATAGTTAGGTTGTAGGTATTCGGATTAAAAGTTATTCGCAGTATGGATACTTTAAAAAATGACTGACTACAAAATCTGTAGCGAATAATTTCCCGAAGTTTTACATAGCGGAATATACTTTCCTTTTTTGGAAAACTTGCAAACATTTTGTACCGCAGGCTGGATTTGAACCAACGACCTTTGCCATCTGTACTGGGGACGCCCCTACCATCTGGGCTAATGCGGCTCATTCCTATCCTGCGAATTAAGCAAGTGTATCTTGACGCATATCCTGTATCGAGCCAGGGTCATTCGGGTCTGCGACCACCGCGCACCGCTCGGAGCTGCCTCAATCAATTATAGTGTTTACGAAACGACTGAATCTCGCGAAAACTCTAAGCTTAATAGGTCAAATTAAAATTTTTCTGCAAAGAATTTAGTTCAAACTATTTAAACAATACTTTCCATAAAAAAAGTGTTTAACGAAAAAAAATCGTTTTTTTTAAGTGTTCGGCAATCTGTTTTTTTAATGGGTGTTAATTTTTTTTGTACGTTGACAGTTGGACCTGTTTTGGGGAAAGTAAGCCGTGATTACCACTCTGCATACTCTGCAAATTATGTATTGGGTCAGCTGGCGGCTGTGAGATTTATATAATTTGTATATTTCGCTTTATCTGACTGCCTGCTCTCAAGAGACCCATCTTCTTATAATTTACAGAGACAGTCTTGTACACTATGTTTTCGGCATTTTTGAACCTCAGGATGGTACGTGCAGGGTGCAAGTGTGCTTTTAATGAAATATACAATATTTTTCATAGTCAAACAAAATAAAAATTAAAACAAATTAAGTACAAGAGACGTCAATGAAAATTAAAGTGAGTTTCGAACATTAACAGTAGGATTTAGAAGGATCACAACTTTATGGGATTTCAGTGTTTTGTTCATTTGTCATTTATCAAAATATTTTAGTACTAGTTATCATTACAAAGGAACTATTTGGCTGGTACATTTTTACAGAATATATTTAATTAAATTTTGAACATATATACATGTACAATCCTGACGGTTCAAGCTGGTGGCATGCGCGTACGAGGCTTTCCAGTACCTAAGAATAAAATACTCATAGCGTTTTATTGTATTGTTTTTATCGGGTCGACGCGCGGATCAAGTAGTAGGTAAACATGCAGACATTTACCTTTTTGCTCTGGTTCAAACTGATTGCACTGTTGGTGGTTTGAAAGGTCGAGAAAAAAGTAAATATCCGCATGTTTACCTACTACTCGATCCGCGCGTTCGATAAAAACAATACAATAATGTGTACAAAGCGCGAAAGTCTCAAACCAATAGCATTGTCTTTTGTATAGGCCGTGTTTCAGTAAAACTTTATCATTGGAAATGTGCGGGTTATAAAAGTCAACCAACGAGTATTTCACATACGAGAATGAGGTAGCAAACTGGGGTCCTAATGGCGCCACTGTCAAATGTGCCTTTTCCTGTGATTGGTCGAAATTGTGCCAGTCAATCAATATCGAAATTCAGGCTTTTCACGCCTGCTATATACCTGCTTATTATTTAACCCCTCTTATAGAAACGAAAAGTGTCACCTGTAAGTAAGGGCACTTCGATGTTGACGCAAGACCGGTATCGCTGTAAGAAGAATGACTTACTTCGGCAGTACTGATGCCGAAGGTCGCAGGTTCAAATCCTGCCTGCGGTGAAAATTTTGGAAGTTTTCCAAAAAAGAATGACTTACTATACCATAACTTAAAAAAAAACGAATGACCGCAATTTTTAAACGATTTCAAGGTAACTTCAGAATTTTCAAAACTAGAAAGTAGCATATTTTGAAAAACTTTAAACCTGTAAAGTAAAGAGCTTTATAAAGAGAGAGTTAATAATTAGAAAAGACTAATATAGTGAGTGCTATACATTTTAGAAGAGTAGACATATAAAAACGGGTTTGAACAGGGCGCACAAAATTAAAAGTCTCAAATTTGTATAATATAATGTCATTTTTGAAGTGATAGGTATAGTTTTGTATTGAAAAAAACCTTCTAAATGAAAACTACATTTGTGGGTAGAGTAAATACCAGCGGTAAATACGTATAAATGTAACATATCGTACAGAACGTACAATGAATGAGCTTAAAAATAGGCGCTAAAGAATGATATATTTTATAGTCATTTATAGATTGGTATAGTATTTTATATTTATATGAAGATTGGTATAGTATTTTATATTTATATGAAGATTGGTATAGTATTTTATATTTATATGAAGATTGGTATAGTATTTTCTATTTATATAAAAATTGGTATATATTTTATATTCATACGAAGACTACACTGGACAGCAGGCGAACCTAGCGATTGATTACCAGTATCCGATATGGAGTGACTAGTTATTTATTGACTCCGGAAATTGGTAGGCAAAACTCCGGAAAAGGTATGGAGCCTGCTCCATACAAAATGTCATCGCGGCGCTATCTAAGCAAATGGACTTTACTTACTGCTAGAATGTTAGCATATTGATTTAGAGAGAGTTTTTTTCTACAACCTGATTCATAGAAGAAGGGCACCCGAAATGGCAACATTGCTGTTAAAACATTGCTCAAATGTCATATTATAGTAATATGAAAAAGACGCAAACAATAATGTTGCCGTTTCGGGTCGTTTTCTTCTATGAATCAGGTAGCACTAGAAATGAATTTTCGTTTGATGACTATAGTCGGACAAGTTCGTGCGGGACCTTCCCTAGGGGTGAAGTTAGAGGGGACGAGGTATCCAAGATGTCAGCGGGTAGCGGTAGGTGTAGCGGGGAAGGGACAAGAGCGCATCCTCGCCGCAGTTCTTAATAAATTGACGTGCTATTTCGCTCCCCTAACGTCTGAAGGTCGCGCACGAAATTGTCGAACTATAAGATACCTATTTATAAGAATATACTCGAAGTACATAATATGTGAACCGTTGAACGAACTTCGTTAATTGAAGAGATTTCTATTCTATATGATTGATGATTATGATGATAAACTAAATGTTATTCGTAGACTTTACATTATTCGTAGATTTGATGTCTATTTATTGATCTATGTGTATTACGTGTATATCATCCAATGATGGATACATTTATTATAAAACAAGTGGAATATGCGTTGCTTACGGCATCATACCGTTGAATTATTATTAGGGGATCAATGTTGAAAACGAGTAAAAAATCTGCCATACAAAATTCACGATCATTTTACTGACTTTGTATGGGTGGTCAACATTTTTATCTCGATTTACTGCATTGATCTCATTATCAAAATTGGTTCAATACGACGCCCTAAACAACGTGTACTATTCATGTCCGTGCATTATCTGAAAAACGTTGTATATTTTTTCGGAATATAATATGTTGGTGTTGATTATCAAATTTTGGCAGTTCTTTAATTATGAATTTATGTAATCCTTAGGTATGTTATAATAATACTGGGTTAGCAGTATTTATTAATTTTTAAATAAAGAAAACAGTACAGTGTTTACGTTATTATCTATTGTAATGATAGAAGAAGGATATTTGACTAGCGATAAAGAATGAGTATCAAATGTTTGTTTATAGAATTAAAATTGATGTTAAATACAATCTGTTATATTATACGTGTACCTAATATGAATTAATATGCGTAATCTTGATGTCTGTTTATGAATTTATGTAATCCCTTTCTTATATTTGAAGTATATGAAAATAATAATATTATGTATGACAAAATCACAGGAGTATCTGATTCTGTGGATAAAATATAAGAAATTTTAGAGACAGTTTATTCGTTAAGAAATGATATAAAATCAGTGCAGATCAGTAATTTTCTATTGAAACTAAACATTGCTCATATTATCTTATTGTATTTTTATTTTAATTAATAAAAATAGGGGCATATCTATAGTAAACTTATTGTAATAATGCATTATTCGAAAAAATAAATAGGAGTATGTTTGTATGAAAACTTTGCTCTAGGGATTGCTCATAACATAACCACCCCACGCACCTACTAAGGATTATTTTTATCATATAGCGCTATGCTATAGCCAGCGGGGGGAGTTACCCATTTAAGGTTGTAACTCACGTTTATAACCTTGACTTTGTGTATTGGCAGCAGAAGAAAATAGTATTCTCATAAATTGAAAATGAGAAAATTGAAAAATTCGTTAGTTGACACCGACATTTTTTTAAATTAAAATGTGTTTTTAATTTAAAGGAATGTCGGTAGCAATTTAACGAAAACGTAGAAAGTAGAATAGTTTACTAGATGGGGAGTTGTGTACATCAGAGTATGTACCTATTATTCATATATAAGTATTTTTGGGGTAATTAGACATTTTCTCAAATAAAATTGACAAATTGAGCTGCCTGGCAGCTTAAATTGCAGCATCTTTAAGTAATAATTAATTAGTAAATGATTGTAAACAAATATGCTGAATCCAAATTGATGATGCCCTCTGATGTAACCAGCTCACAACTCTGCACCTAAAGTACCTAGTATCATCTAGTATTGTGAAAATTGTAGTAGCTAGTTTATTGACTGTTTTCAGGGTTATTATTGCATTTTTTATTGAGTTGTACAAAATAAGACAAGTTACTTGGTGCCTAGAATTTAGGTGCTAAAAGTTTTTGTTTGTAATTGAGAGAAAGAAAAAGCAGTAACTTAGGTAGATATGTATAAAATAACGATCGGCGCTGCAATTTTTTTTTTTACTTTTATTTTCAAGGATAAAGTTAAGGCCAAACGTAAGTGCCAACTGTTTATTTCGTTTTGTTTAATTTTCAGGAGTATAAATATTTCTCTATACTTCTAAAAATTAAATAAGCAAAACTAATTAAACAAAACGCATTTTAATTTAACCTTTATCTGCAGAAAGGTATTTTTAGGAAAACTTGCAAAATTTACCACCGCAGGCAAAGACATTGCATTTTATTATAGACACGGTATCTCCATACTGCTTGTACAAAAAAGTTGTTCCGTGAAATTCGCTTGAACAGCTCATAGCCTGACCAAAGCCTGACTGACACAAGACTGTCACATTGGTCTCACGGAGACCAATTTGAAGGAACAACTTTTTGCTCAGGTGGCGTATCTACAACCTAGAATCTACATATAATATCATTGACCGCAGGCGGGATTTGTACCCGCGACCTTGGGCATCTGTACTGCCGACGCCACTACCAACTGGGTTAACGCGGTTCTAATCTAGCCTGCGAATTAAGCAAGTATGTCTTGTCCACTAACGTGTGGATGGGCTCCATCTACCGGGATAGTTTTTGCCTGCGGTGGAAAATTTTGCAAGTTTTCCAAAAAATTGTATACCTAACACGAGAAGTGTTTTAAACTTTGGTATTCAACTGCAGAAATGTGTTATACGTAGTGGAACATTAGAAAAAATCGCCTTGTTGCCTTGCACATGTAGTTCCAGACCAAGGTACCTCCTTTCCTGATATCGTACAGACATATTATAGGTACCCAAAAGTTTACTAGTAATGGATTAGGTAATGGGCGTTTTGTGTAGAAACTAATCTGCAAAATGGCGTTGTACGCTGCCATAGACTATAATGGAATAACTGTCATAACTTTCTTCAAAAAATGCCCAATCGTCGCGATTGAACAATATACCGGGAGTAACGGAAAGGGTATAACAAGCCGAAGGGAGGTCAAGGTACTCATGAAACTGAACAACTTTTCCAATGGAACATGAGTCGAAATATAAAAAAAATATTTGGACCTCCCTTACAAAATCGCCGATCAGCTGACTGATTTACTATGGAAGGTCCAATTTTTTTTTCATATTTCGACTTATGTTCCATGGGGACAGTTGTTCAGTTTCATGAGTACCTTCACCTCCTTTCGGCTTGTAATGCCCTTTCTGTAACTTCCTGTATATAAGTCTATGATTGAACACGCTCATGAAACTGTTCAGTAAAAACATAATATTATTATAAGATAAATAAGTCCGCTGCTGCTCCAGTCGGACAATTTGTAAATTATTTTCTATTTGTACATTATTATAACATGCGCAGTTAAAAAATCGATCCCAAATTGGCAACGTTATTGTTTTATATGATTACTAGATTTCCGCCCACGGTTTCACTCGCGGTATTTAGGTGTTTGGTCTAATAAAAAAGTTTGAAATACATTGCATTTCAAATCCACATTTCATAAAATTTACACACCCCTTTAGTGGCTTAAAATAAGAAAATACGTAGTAAATTATTTTGTCAACTTAGCCTAATCACAAAGTTTGGAATAAATTGTATTTAAAAATGGAAAACAGTATATTAGGTGATATTAGCAAAGAAATTTAAAGTTTCTTATTTTTAATCAAATTATAGTTTAATTCCTTCGAAACAAATCAAATCATTTGAATCTTAAAAGATAAATTAATGCTTAACAACGATGCATTTAGGTGAACGCACATATGTCAGTAAGCTGCACCGCACGCGCCGTACGCGCCGAATAATGCTGCAGGGGTCGCACACCTATACGCAGTCAGTGTGACCATATTAATTTGTTGTTATGATGATCTCGATTACAAACTTCTTACAAAGAAAGATTTCAAATGCGGTGCGTGCAGTGCGGCTGTACTGACAAATGTGCGTTCACCTTAAGGCATCGTTGTTCTAAATGGAGTTCAGCTACTCGACAACAGATGGCTTGAAAAATCCCTTATGTCTATAAAAATACGCTCTTTAAATTAAAACGGGAACTTTCTTGTTCGAGGGGGGATAAAGGGCTATCACACTATATAAGTCCCTATATCGTACCGGGAGTCCTTCTTAAGTTTTATCGGCACGTACATTTTATCAACTTAGTTTTATTAATGATTAATATGATATTAAAGGACGATGTTAACTATAATATTGTCACTTCGGGATCCATTCGTTATCTGCGCAAGTTATACCAATAGTAAGTTAACATATTATAATGATTTATTTAATATTAATTTCATTATTTTTTACTTGTAACTTGTCACTTTGTTTTTATATTATTTTCAATCAATATTTTTTTAATATTGATATGTTATTGACGAAAACAATGTAAATGATTTATTAACTGACTGATTTGTAATTTTCTAATGCAATTTCTCTGTATAAAAAGATAATTAAAAATATCGGATCCCGACGAACTGCCAATAATAACCATAATATTTATACGGTTACATTTAATTATGTACAAATCTTTTGAGGGTGTAATCTACTCGCAAAACTGAACAACTTTTGTTAGAAACTTTTCTTCGAAATATGAAAAAAAAAATACTAAGTGACACACTTTTTCAGCATTTTTGTATGGGAGTTTCAAATTTCTTTTTCACATTTCGAAGAAAAGTTTCAAACAAAAGTCGTTCAGTCTTGTGAGTAGATCACACCCTCAAGAGATTTGTACTTAATTAAATGTAACCCTATATATACCTAAGACGCGCTACTATTTTAGCGCACACAGACAGGTAGCTAAATATTTGGATTTTATTATTATTGTAAAGACCTTTCCTAAATACTGTAAAATAAATAGAGAAAATCTCTGCGGTCCGCCACTCTAGATCACAAAATATTTCTGAAATCCATAACAAGATCTGATTATTTACAGTATTTTAGAATACTACTAAGTAAGCATTTATCATTCATGTTACTTGGTGTTTAATATGTGTATACTATACAGCGTGTTACAAAACAACCCATAAAAACTCCCATACAAGTTGAGTTCGTTTTGTATGGGAGGTCTATTTTTTTTTTCATATTTCGACCCATGTTCCATGGGGAAAGTTGTTCAGTTTCACGAGTACCTTGACCTCCTTTCAGCTTTATTGGTTGTTTTGTAACACCCAGTATAAACGTGTAAAACTTTATTGTCGACGACTTATAAGTGAGAAGAATTATTATATTATGAAAGTGATATATCTGAATTATGTGTATTTTCCTGTCAGGCGTGATATTTCGCTGGCCCGCATAGGTCTTGGCGTTTCATTCGTGTACCGTCTGCATGATCAGAGCAAAGACGACATCCTTTGTGGAAGGATACATAAAGGAGAGTATTGATTGGGAACATTTCGAGGACTAAGTCCCGCGTCATTGCTTAAATACAAAAAGTACCCAAATATTTTTTTTCTAATGAAGACGCATTTATACAATACTTGGGAACAAAGTTCCCACAACGAGGCGTCTTCATTGGGAACTTTGTCTCAGATACATTGTATACAAAGATTCGGGGATTTTGTCCCCAATGAATACCCGGCGTAAGCCTTCCATAGATACGCGCTAGCCGGTGAAAATCGCGTGACATGAAAAATAAAGGCTGGTTTCAAAGTAGGAAGATCTAGATATATAATGCAAAGTAGTGTATGCAACGTCTATTTAATCGAAATAAAAAACCGTTTTTTTTTTATAAAAACACTTGTTTTATTTTTTAATTAGGTAATTAGTCCACTCCATAACCAATTAATAAAACTTATACAATGGGTATTTAAATAAATGGTATGTACAAAATAGTTAGGATTGTTCTTAGGGCGCGTAAACGAAATAGAGCGACCGCGTCATCGCCCCGCTTTATTTTGTGTATGCGCCCTTACAGTCGTGATATGATGCAGCGTTCTCTAGACATATTGCGTCGTGTCTTGTCTTGTACTACATGGATATTGCTCATCAAATCCGCGCAAACCATCGAGTTTGTCGCTTGTACATTTCAGTTTAAGGACACATATTTTAACTCGTTGACCTAAGACTAAACATCTAAAATATCTCCAAATCGATGCCAAATCGTAATAAAGACAAAAGAAAGGATACTGAGTAGCTGGAAGAGCTGGAAAGTTGGCAACTTTAGACAATGGCAGTTTAATTGGGCAGTGCATGTAAAAAAATAAACTAGGTATTTTAGGCTACGGACAAAGGAGGTCCAATTTTGTTTTTTCATTTTTAACCTCGACGGGAAAGTTGCCCAGTATGGAATGTAGATGAGTAAACCACGTAAGTGTATTAACAGTAGGATATTTACTAACTTCAGTACCCTTTCTAATTTGCTGTTTCAGTTTGGGTGCACGTGTCAATAATAAATATTTGCCGAAATTACTACTCTCTATATTCTACTAACTTATCTTTCCGAGGCCATGCCATCCAAGTTTAAATTCCTTCCTAAAATCTATCAATCAGTCTTTTCAATTTGGCAAACCATAACAACTTTGATACAGGAATGTATAAAACTAGCTACACTCCATATCTTGGATATAAGGCCACCTCTTTACGTACCTACTGTTCGCCATGACTTGTGTGGTAACTTCTCACGAAACAAATACTTTCCCCATTGGTTATGATGAGTTGTACCGCATAAGTATTATACAAAAATATTTCTGTCCCCATGGCGTAGTGGATAGTACACCTGCCTTCTACGCCAAGGGTCGTGGGTTCGATTCCCACTGGACACAAATATTTGTTAAGTCAATTTTCAAATATTTGTGTTATGTCTGGGTGTTTTCTATGTATAATATGTATTTATTTACAAAAAAAAAGTATATAAGTATTATATCAGTTGTCTAGTTCCCATAGTACAAGCTTTGCTTAGTTTGGGGCTAGATGGCGCTGTGTGTCTCGTCCAGGGATATTTATTTATTTATTTATTTATTTATTACTATGAGTTTCTTGGGGAAAATTATTTGTTGTCATGATCATGGGCCATTTATACCATTGGCCTGCTGTCATCGACTTTTATTTGATACACGCACCCAAACTACAAAAGATAAACCTCTAAAATTCTATAGAAAGTAGATACAAGACCGGATAATAAATACTTTAAAATCATGAAAAGTTCTTTGAAGCTTATACACTACACTGTAAAATTGTAAGCATATCAAAACTGCAATTAAATATAATACGGGGTGTAAGGGACAGTTCTTTGAATACTGAAGGGTGCATTCAGTCTATGAAACTGAAAAAAATCCCATAAGAAAGATTTCAGGAGGAGCAAAAAGAAAAAATAATTTGACCTCCCTTAGGAAATCACGATCAGGTGACTGAATGTACCATGGGACGTCAACATTAATATCTCCTGAATTTTTTTAAGAAGGTGGTTCAGTTTTATATTCTGAATGCACCCTATCAGTATACGGAGAGCTGTCCCTTACACCCTGTATACTATCATAACGTTTCTGTTTAAGGATCTGGAATTTAGGGATGTGTCACTCCCTAGGGATGTGTTCAATGTTC